GCTCTCCTTTTTTTTATTTTCTAGGCATCACACATGACTTGATAGGCTTCTTGTTCTTTTTTTCAATTGTTATTTTATTTGGGTTTTTTTTTTTTTTTTTGGTTATTAGCAGCACCGTGATATTGGGGAATAAGATCTTAGTTCTTTTTGTTCATGTTTATTTTGCCTTATAGTTGACAAGATGTCTGTTAATTGACATTTCTGTCTTTGTATATATAGGGAGGGTGGGAAAATGATGAAACAGTTAAAGAGGCAGCTGTTCGTGAAGCCATAGAGGAGGCTGGAGTTCGTGGGGATTTAGTGGTGAGATCATTGGAACCTTTCTTCATTTATTCTGTAGTATCTGGACACGCAAATATGTTATTCTATGTTGCACGGAGGTTCATCATGTTTTAGTGGAGGAAAAATCACTTTTTAGTGATGGATTTGCATGTCAAATGGACCGCAATAGCAACATTTTCTCTGCCTTTGAGCTTTGGATGTGCTCGTATCTTTTTATTACTTTATCATCTTTAATTCTCTCTGTGCAGAATGTTCTTTTATTATTAATGGAGTGAATTTTTTTACAAGAAAGCATCATATGATGTGATGAAGCTTCAATATGTATTTTTTTTATGAAGTAGGAGATATTACAAACCACATCAGGAAGATGCAAAATTTAGCACTGGACAGTGTCTAAATGTGATGCAACAATATTACAAAAGCTGAACTTCTGTTGAAGCATTTTAGGAGAGTCAAAATATGCTTGTTTTAGTTTAGAATTTAGATTGTCTTGGTGTAAAACTTCCAAGTAATCCTCTCTTGATCGGCATAACGTTTTATCTTAAAATAAGTATCTTGTGTAAATAACTTGTAGGTTGGAGCGTCTGTAGAAGTGACGTCATTCCCTTGTCTTTTGTTATCATGTATCCATTGGATTTATACCTCTTCTTTTTTTCAGCATTTTTTGGGATACTACCCCTTTAAAAGCAAAACACTTCAAGACGAGTTCAGTCCAGAAGGTCTGTGTAGAGCTGCCATGTTCGCTTTGTTTGTGAAGGAAGAGCTTGACTGTTGGCCAGAACAGAGCCGGCGGGAAAGAACTTGGCTGACAATTCCTGAGGCGATTGAATGTTGCCGGCACCCATGGATGAGAAAGGCCCTTGAAGAAGGATTTTTGAAGTGGCATGAGGATGGTATGGTAAGCACAATTAACAACAACGATGACTAGTTTTTCTCTTTAGTCCTCCCTTACCAAAGACTGAAGTTTTTTAGAACTTTAACGGGTAGAAACAACTATGAAGTTGGATCTTATGTCAACTATAAATCTTCCAAAAAAAGTGACATGGTCACCATGTTTTGATAATTTATTATCTGGTTCTTTGCTTTTCATGAGATTGAGGGAGAATCAGAAAGAAAAAGAAACAAGAAAAATTATCCCCATCTTCATCATTTTTTTCTATTGCTAAGCTACATTTTCAGTTATACAAGTAGTGGGACTAACCAAATTAGTTAGATTACCAGATGATGCTTTTCTCTGCAACTGTGATTTCATTATAATGACATGCACATCATAGCCCCTACGGGTGCAGCCCTTCCCCGAACCGTGCATGAACGCATAATGCTTCGTGCACTAGATTGTCCTGTACATGACATGCTCATTATGGTCGTTCTACGCGATATAGTGTCCATAATCTGTTGTGGGGAAGGCAAAGAAACTTCTTAAACAGGCCTCACCATGTGTGTGCTTAACAATTGAAAGTTGTGTGATGAATGCCATTTAACAACAGGTAGTTCGTTTTAGTTGTTGCATAATTATCTTTGATACCAAATGAATGGCTATAAATTATAATTATACATTCAGTCTGCACTATAGGATATAGTCTAGTAGTCAATAATGTGGACAGAGTTGCTCGGTAACTATGCTGTTGGGAGATTTCTTCTTATTTCTTCAAGCCTTATTGAATAGAGTTATCCGGTAACTATGTTGATGGGAGGTAATGATGTAGTGGGTACCTCGTGGAATTTAGTGGACGTGTGTACAAGTTGGCTCCGACATCACAATATTTTTTTGAAGCTTATGCATTTATATGATTTTAAATTATTTCAATTTCTCTCCTTCCTTTGCCAGAAAGAAATATAAAAGTTAGATTAGAATTGCTTTCTAACTTTAAAAACTTTTGGTCAATTTTAGAAACTAGTCAATCTTTTTAATAGTATATTTTTTTCCTTGTTGGTCCATTGTTTGTTACATACAATGTACTTATTATTCCCTCCGTCCAGAATTAATTGTTATATTTCACTTCTCGAGAGTCAAATTATATTTAACTTTGGAAAGTATTTTTTTCCATCAAATTGACATGAGTACAATTACAACTTATAATACTTTTAGTATAATTTTTAAATATTTAAATTTTAATTATAAATTATTTAATTAATTTAATCGAATTTAACTTTCAAGATTCTTGACTCTTACGTGGGAATGTTGGAACTAAAGGACTTTATACATTTTTCGGATGATTTTAGAATTTATCAAAAAAAAAAGAAAAGAAGAGATTCCTACTTTACTTCTTAGTTAAAGTTTTATACTTTTTTTCTTTTTCTTTGACAACTCGAGATATATAAAAGTTGATCCAATATTTAAATATGATAACTTGTACATTTAAAATTCTTTATTGTATTTTAAAATAATAGGTTTATATATGGTATTTATTGAAATTTAAATAATTTTCACATCCTGAATCATATTTTCGTGTAGAAAACAATGAATTTAGTTGAATCCTTAATAAAAAAATTGCATAAATTTTGTTATATTGCTAATAATTTAATTAATGTATCCTGCAAATGCATTAATGAAAAATCACGAAGCAAAAAGGTAATTGGCTAATGATAAATATCTTTCTGATTCTAATAATTTAATTAATTAACGTATCTTGGAAAAAGTTGTTTTTCTAATTATTAAAATTATTTAATTTAATTAAAATATAAACTACTTGTGTTGGAAAGTACAAAATGATATTAGCATCTATCTTCCCAGTCAGGCGGCGCTGGAAAAGGAAATACAAATATAGTACTAAAACATTTGTCAATATTGACTAAGTAGCCCATATAGTTTAGTTAATTGTAAGTGGTCCACTACATTTCTCTCATTTTTTTTTAAAAAAATTCGATTTAATGTCTGATATTCACATTGAAGTTCGACTAGTTCAGATTTACATCGTGTAGGTTCCATTCGAGGAAAAGTCCTACCAAGTACCAAGAATGTTTTATATCGAAGCTTGAATATAAGACTTTTGGTTACATAAAAACCATACTCATTCATTGTATTTCTCTCTTTAACAAGAAATGGTCAACTTTACCTACATACTATATGAAATTAAGTAATTTTATCCTCCGCAAGTTACGATCTAATATTACTCTTGTTTGTTTTGGTCCTTGACCTTTAATGGTATTTCAACTTGAAAGTAGTTTTATATTGTAATTAAAAGTTAATTGGATAAATTTGAATCTTTTTGCTTGAAAAATTTGAACATGTGTGAATCTACCCCACTCCATGTTGAAACTTTGTAAATAATGAGAATTAATACAATATGAATAGATAAAATGAAATATAACGAATGATAAAATTGAATAGTTTTAGAAAAATATTTTTCTTTTTTTATAAGAGGAGAGTAACAAATAGTGCAATGATTTGTTTTTTTATTTGTGTTTGAAAATAGGCATTTTTTGTAACAAGGGTGTTCACATCTAGACATGTAGGGTAAAAGCTTTTGGTCAACATAACCAAATTTATGTCTATTTTGAGAAACATTTATATTGACAATTATTAAAGCCAACTAATTATCATATGTTTGACTAATGATACTTTTAATCATTACTATTTTCATTTATGGAATTTTCAACAAACTTTGCTTCTTTGTTGTTTTGTATATTCCAAAGTTCCCAACAACTTTTATTTAGTACTATCCACATCCACCAACGATCATCTACCTATGATTAGCCTAAGAAAATTAGTGCAATGGTCTAATCTCCGTTACATATAATATGACTGAAGCGAGATTGAGCTGATTCATGCATGTAGAGAAAAGGTGTGTGGAGGCATTAATAAGAATGTGTGAAAGTTTAACTATAACGAATTGTAAGAAAGGTAAAAATAATCCAAAGAAGATCATCAAAAGAAGTAATTAGACAAGATATAATGTATCTTCAACTTATTGAGAATATGATGCACATTGACCTTAGATAAGAAAGTTTTGAAGATCGAAAATTAGAATAGCAAAACTATCGTACTTATTCGGGGGAAGAGGCGGGGAGATAGTCTCCTCTTCTCCTAATTTAGTAATCTAGCCTAGTAAATACTTGAAACAAGTTCCAAACATATCGCAACTTTCATCTTATCAACCAAATCAAACTAATTCCTTCAAAATAAAATATCACCAAGTGAAGGAACATATTTAAGATAAAATATAACAATTACGAACTTATGAACTAACATATAAATATAAAGAAACATACAATAAATTATACTCCGTTCCATTCAAAATCATTGTTGTTTCACAAAATCAAGGTGTTCAATTTTTTCCCTCCAAATTTATCCTTGACAATTCCTAATTCAATATAATTTTTCAATGTTATATATAACAAGCTACATAAATAAATAAATCATAATTAAAGGATATTAGTCAAAACCCACTCTTTTAAATAAAGGGATCCAAGTGAAAACATAAAAACTTTGGGTGTGTTAGGTGTAACTTCCAAAACTCCTAAGGGGAATCTGAAATTAGATTGTTTTATTATGTAAGTGCGCTAAATAATTTAGGAATATTAAAATATACTCCTCACTTTTACTTATTTATCATTTCTAATATCAAAATAAAATATTTATATTAGCTACTTTATTTATAGAAAGACATATAAAGTTCAAAATAAACAAATAAAAATGATCGGATCGAACAAATATTGATATATATATATATATATATATATATATATATATATATCGGTGGCTTAGAAAATGACGTGGGGGCTAGCGTAGTTTGGGATGATCTAAACGTCACGTTTGTCATCTTCCTCTCTCTTTCCCTCGTTCTTCGTGGTCATAAATATATAATAATATTAAGTAAAATTATACAAAAATAAATTCTGGGTTCGTTGAATTTTGTGTAAAAAATGAGTCTTTATACAGAAAATTCAACTTCAAATTGTTTCCTGACCAGTCATTAAACCACTCCAACTTTGCTTATTTAGTTTTTATACAAAGTGGGGTTGTAGAAAATTCAGTTTTCTTGAGGTTTTTTATTAATTTTCAGCTTTTGGGTATTAGCTATTAACTCATTTTGATGAAGGGGTAGTTGGGTTTTGATAAAGTTTTGACCTTTTTGGTGTTTGAAGTGAGGGTTTATGCACAGCTGTTTTTTTTTTTTTTTGGGTTTTCTTGATTTCAATGGTGTAATTTTGTCTGATGCGGTGTATGTATTAAAGTTTTAAGCGGTTGCTTTTTGGAAGTTTTTGTACTTAGTCAACTATTTGAAGGGGGTTTGTAGTTTAATTTTGTTTCTGTAGAGTTTTGAGTGTATGAACTGAGGTTGATGATGATGTGAAGATTGGTAGAAAAGGCTATAAGAGTGGTACTTCTGGGATGCCAAGTTTCATTTCTCAGATTCCAGTTTCAAATCACATGTATATCTCTTAACATGCTTTTTCTTTTTTGAATTTCTGTAAATTTTAGTTTGTTCTTTGTATGTTTGTAAGTGTTGGATTTGTTTCAGATGTGGGATTACTGTTTATTCTTATGTTTTTGTTGAACGATTCGAGTTTTGAGATTGTTGTTATTGGGACTAGGCTATACATCTTTCTATTTGTTCATGTAAATAAAAATAGAAGTCACTTACAGTTTGATTCTAGTTTGGAGAGATGACTTTTTATGAGTTTTAGGATAGCCACTCAAGCGAAAAAAGAAGAAGAAAGAGAGCTGAACTCTCTTTGTTTCAGGACCGGATAGGTCCTGTAGCGGCGGAGGTAGGATTTCCATTAACGGGGGTTCATAGATAATTTTGACTTTTTATATAATCATGTGTTTTCCGGTGAAGGGGATTCAAATGAACCCCCTTCTGCCGTTGTCCAGATCATGGTTTAGGTAAATCAACTATTTCTATTAATACTCCGCTAATCCCTAGAAACGAGTTAAACTTAATAAGAAGAGGAAAGAATGTTCAACCATTTCATAGTCAAGTTGTTTTTCAGAGTTCTTCCTGAATAATTACAGTTTAACGTGTTAGTCTAAATCTAGAATAGTTATATGTCATTGCTGATATGCTGTGTATGTAGGTGACATCTCAGATTTTTAATTCCTGTTTAACAATATTGTTGGGCTGTAATTTTGGATTTCAGGGGCACTGAAGGGAACAATACAAATACTTCTCGAATGTCTGAATTTGGGGTGCTTGAGCAATATCTTGGATTCCGTATTGGAGATGGTGCTAATGTTAATCGAAGTATGTATTTTATAGACTAATCCTTAATGTTCTTGGTCTGCCTATCTTTCCTATCTGTCATCTGATAAAAGAATCTTTGTATGTTTGAGCCTTTTTTAAGTTACGGGTTTACAGTAGGCACCAAGTATGTTTTGTCTTTAGTGTTTCTAGTGAGCATTGGGCTCTCTTGTTGTAAACAACTGATGATCTTATCAGCAAGTTTTACTTTCCATGCAAATTATCTTTGGGTAGTTGAGACCTCCGAAAAGTTTAAATGAGCTGAAGAGACTGATCATGGCATAGGACTTTTCTTTGCTTTTCTACCCTAGTCAGGTCTAAATGTAGTAAGAGAAGTGGGACTTTGAACTTAACTCAATTCCAAACGTTAGTAGGAGTTCAAGATTATATAAGAGATATTTGGACATGAGGGTCCAACATTGGGTAATTTAACATTAGGGAATTGCATCATACTATGTTAAGAGCAATCGACCTTGGGCATAACTCTACCCAAAAAACTAGTTCATTGGGGAGAGTTGCAGAAAGACCATATAAAGAAGGTAAAATTCATACCCTCAACCGACGTGGTACCGTAACGTATGAATCCTCTTTATAGATAATATTCGAAAAGCTAATATTCTTATGTATCTATAGGTTTGGAAAATATATTCGGCGCATAGTATATGAAGTAACCTCTTTATACATAATCTACGAAAAAGTAATATTCCCATATATATGTCTATAATTTGGAAAACATATTTGAGCACATAGTATATGAAGTAACCTCTTTGTAGATGAGCTACGAAAAAGTAATATTCCTATGTAGATACCTATAGTTTGGAAAAGATATTTGAGCGCATAGTATATGAAGTAAATAGTGTTTTGTGATATTGAGATAGCTAATTTAAATTAAGAAGACGAAGTTCATTGTTCCAAATATTTGATATATCTTGAATTGGGTCTTCCTATTTGGACAATGTTAAATAAGAGTTAAATTAGTATACCTATTCCAGGAATGTTGGGTTTGGCAGTAACGAACAAAATGGGAATTGATTTTTTTTGTCCTAATATGGGTGCAAGACATGTGACCTTTTTACATCCAAAAGTAGTGGTGTCAAGAAAATGTTCTGTTTGCATGGTGTTTAAAATTTTGGGTTTAGTTCTAAATGCACTGTTAAAAAATTAGGTCAAAAGCGCGGACTTCATAAGTTATGTACCAGGTGGTCATTTGCACAATTTGCTCTTATTTCCTGATCTCTATATATTTATATAATTGCCACCATCTGGTTTTGTGTTTGTCATTTTCGGATTACAATGTAATGTAAAGATAGTACCCCCTCCGTTTCAATTTGTTTGTCTTACGTTCTTTTGTAGTCCATTTAAAAAAGAATGCCTCCTTTTGACAACTCTGTTATTTCAATTTCCACATGGCATGTTTAAGACCAAGATTAAAAGACATTTTGGTACATTCAACATATGAGTTTAAGACCACAAGATTCGAAAGTCCTTTTACTTTCTTAAACTTTGTGCCAAGTTAAAACTAGACAAACAAATTGAAACAAAGGGAGTACCTATCAAATATAATGTGTAGATATTGCAAACAATAGCCAAAAAATGTTGAAGAGCATGAAGGACAAGGATAATTGGGGTTTTATTCCTTTGTCACTTTACAAACTGATCTGTCAATGTAACTTCCGGGTGAAAGAACTAACTTATGGTCTAATAAACTGGATGCCTGCTCTCCAAATACTCGATATTGTTAAACCTAAATGTTTAGAGTGATGCTGGAAGGTGGTCTGGATCCCCCTTATTAGAGAACTGTGGTTGCAATGGTATTCTTGAGCTTGATTTCAACTGTAGTAGGAATGCTTGATTGTACTGAAAAGCACTTGTGTTTTCTTTTCTAGTGTTCCGTTATATGTGAACCACAATTGTCTAGCAACTTGTCTCACTTATGTGAAGACTGACCATTTCCTGTGTAGTATGATTGATGAATATATTTTTTGTTGGTTTAGGTCCCCTATTTAATTCAACATCTGCAGCTAATCCAGCAGTGGGATTTGACGTCTCTGGAACCATCAATAGGGTAATCATGGCATTATTCTCTCTACATTTCTTCCTAAAGAGATGTAGAAACTGTTAATCTGATAGTGCCAGAGATGTCCACAGGCTGAGGGCAAGGCATTTAGCTTATTTTGATATATTTTTTTCCCATTGAACTTTCAGAATTTAGCTCCTTCAAATACAAGTTTGTCTACTGCTGCTCCGGGATCTCATGTAATACAATTGCAATCAAACTTAGTTCCTGCAGCCGGCACTCATCCTGAGAATTGGGGCGAGTCCAACATGGCAGATTCTGGTTCTCGCACTGATACTTCAACTGACATGGAGGGAGATGATAGAAATCAAAGGGTAATTTACTCTGCTTGTCTCAGTTTCATTGCTTAGCCTCTCTTAGTCCATTTCTCTTTGATTTGTAAAGACCTGCGATCTCTTGGAATTTATCTTGATTTGAGTAAGAATAAAATTTAACAGAAGCGAAGGGTCAAGGGGCCATCTAGGCAAACCAACAAGTATGGATTGGGGTTTGGTTATTGTTATTGCGCTTGGCCACTTGCATAAAGTGAAATGTTTATTTGGAGTCATTTTGTTCTATTTGGGTCTGTGCTGATCAGACTCGGGTTCGGGTATCCGACCTGGGTGCTGCCTATCGAAAATCCAGATTCTTTATCACATAAATTTTAGGATTCAGGGGTATGGATCTGAGTACTGATACAGGTGCTGGGATATGGCCAATAATTGTTTATTACGATATATTTCAATTAGTTGAAGTTATTGAACTTAAATTAATAGAAGTTCATTCCTTATAAACACCAATATTTTGTTCTTTTCTCACGCAATAGAAAAGGGTTCTCATACTTTACATTTTTTGAGAATGACCACATTCGCGTACTTTATATATATTTATGACATAAACCCAAAAATCAAACTAAATACCCAATCAATCTATACTTCTCGGTCTAGAATGTGTTAAGTACCCAAGATAAGTTGACCAAATCTGCTATAGATCCCACACCCACACCTATGTCGTGTCTACATGGGTGCGGCGGAGATTTTGAAGAGTGCTTGCAACATAGATTTGGACACTAGTATGTCTGTGTAAGAAAAAGTGTGAGAGAATCTCTGGTTTTAGAAAACTCTAATTTTCCTTGAATGATTAGTTATTTACTATTCCTGTCCCATCTTATATGACTCTTCTCTGTTTGGGATGTCTCAAAATGTTTGACATATTCCATCTCTGCAACTTTCACAACTGTCAAGAATCCAAATTCGTTAAGGTGTTCAAATTTTAAACTTTAATCTTATGTTTTCTTTGTTAGATGAACTTTTCAATTGTTATTACTTTAATAAATGTCACCACTGATACAATAAATGGAAGTGTGTGTTATTGAATTATTAATTCAAAATATAAGACAATTATTTGTATTGTAAAGAAATGGATAAGTGGAATAGATACAGAGGACTTATGTTAACCAATCCCAAACTAGCTGTTATTGAGCAATAATTGGTTGATTGTCTAGGTTTCATCACTTCAATTTCATACTTGAGTCCCCTCATGATTTTGGATTGTTTGTGGACCTTTTAGTTTCAATAATTGTTATTGCAACCTTTTTGTTTCAATAATTGTTATTGCATGCTTAAAAAATTAAGCGGAAATTTCTTTACTTGAAAGTATAACATTTTTCATGATCTGGTTTGCGTTCTTACATTTGAGTCATGTATGAAAATTCTTTTCCATTGTGCAGATTGAGACGGGTCAATCCAGGGCTATTGCAGCTTCTGATTCCAGTGACAAATCAAAAGAAAAAGTCTTGGATCAGAAGGTCCGTTTCTTACTATTTAGTTTTAGAAGAGGAGAACTTCCTTTCTTATTTTCTTTTTGCTTATTATCACTGCTTGCAGACATTACGGAGACTTGCCCAAAATCGTGAAGCTGCTAGAAAAAGTAGATTGAGGAAAAAAGTAAACCTCTCTTCTCTCATTCTCCACACTAGTTTGTCATTTTAGTATATGAGGGATGCTGAAGAGAATATGTCAGCTGATTGTTTCTCACTCGTCTTTAAATGACTAATTCCGTACTTGCTTATGCTGCAGGCATATGTTCAACAGCTGGAGAATAGCCGGCTGAAGCTATCGCAGTTGGAGCAGGACCTTCAGCGAGCACGTCAACAGGTATTGGCTTCTTCCTTGCTTTTGGGAGGACAACTTGAGGAGGTTCCACAATCTTTTCTTATTTTGTTTATTTGTGCAACTGAAGGGGAAGTACATTTCAAACATGGCAGATCAATCAAACGGAGCGGGTGCCAGTGGTATGCCTTTCTCTTGTAGTTCCCTTTTTTCATTTCAACAAACAAGAAAATTGATGGGTCTTCTTCTAGATCTGTTGAGGAAGTATCACTTCTTGATACTAAATTCAGCTAGGAATGGGTTGTTATTTCATGTTTCTTGCATTTGATTCTGTTACCATCTGTTGTCTTTAGTGTTTCAGTTGCCACATTATTTCTTTTTTATTATTGTTCATTTTCTGGAAGTCCTGTATTGCTTTCCGTATTAATTGACCTGTTTTCTCCACTGCCATATTTCCTTTTCCCCAGCCACTTTGATTTGCTACACTTGAGCCGAAGGTCTTTCTAAAATAGTCTCTCTACCTCTACGAGGTAGTAAGGTCTGCGTATACTCTTCCCTCCACAGACCCCTTTTGTGGGATTGCTCCCAGCAGGACAGACTACACTTGATGTGATAAAGATCGTTCTAGGAGAACAAAACTGGGTATGTTGTTGTTGCAACTTCCGCAGTTCGACAATACTCTTTATTGTATCAGCTATGATATCATTAAGATCATCTAGATGTGCCTCTCATAGATGATAATGACAGGATTTGGGTAGTTCTAGGAAAATTTGGGTGGAATCAGAATGGTTGGTTTCACTAGACAGAAAAGCGTCCACCATATTGCAGTCAAAACAGACATTTTACATGATGGCTATCTCTATCTTAAACTCGTCCTATATGCACTTTATGCACCTTTCAGCCTTTCCAGGAATATTTCGTCTCTCATATGTTGTGTGTCGCGCGGTCTGTGTTTAGGAAGCAAATAAGACGGAAATAATGTGTGTTTTTAATTGAAGGAGATTGTAGAACTTCAGTTTTCTTGATTTTCCCTGATTGACTGGACTCAAATAATGAGATAACTTGTGAAATCCATCTGCGTGTTGATACGCTGTGGATGACATTTAATCCGAAATTGAGGAACAAAGTAAACTGCAACTTTCAATTGGTACTTGGTTTGATGTTCACAAGTCTCACACTTGTGATGGTTGCTATGATTAAGATAATGAATGAATCGGTTGCTGCTTTATGCACTCAGTTAAATACATGACTTTTTTGTATTAGGTTGGCCATTCTTAATAAGATAACGTTCAACCCCTAATTTTTGATTGCACTGAAAAAGTTTTCTCGTGCTAAGATAACCTTTCAGATGCTGCTGTTCTGCAGGGACCTTAGCATTTGATGCAGAATATAGTCGATGGTTGGAAGAACACAACAAACACATCAATGAGTTGAGAACCGCTGTCAATTCACATGCAAGTGACCCTGAACTGCGAAGTATTGTGAATAATGTCACTGGACATTACGATGAGGTCTTTAGGGTGAAAGGAAATGCAGCCAAGGCGGACGTATTCCATGTCTTGTCAGGGATGTGGAAAACCCCTGCCGAGCGGTGTTTTATGTGGATTGGTGGCTTCCGCCCCTCGGAACTTCTTAAGGTGACCTTCTTGCTTTCATATGCGGTCAATTCTGCGTCTGTTCTTGTATATTTTCCATCTAGACTTTCCCTGTAAAGGATTATAAAAAGCTGTTGTACTACTTGATCATGTATGAAAAGGTCCTATTGTTTGCAGGACTAATAAGTTCTTAGTAGTGTGGAATTTCATTGATTTATGCTTGTGAAAATTTACTTGCTAAAAGATTGGGTGGTTTCACTTTCCGAACGAATGAGGTGCCGTGTAGTGTACAATTGCATTTTTATGTCACTATCTTCTATAACACCATCACTGTAGTCTTGTGACCTGGGATAGTAAGGTCTGACATTCTCCTTCAAATGGCATGGACTTACAATTATTGTACTGAAGCTTTTGGTTTTCTTCTCGTGTTCACTGCATATAGCATCTCTAAACAAACCTGATGCCTAGAAGCAAAAACTTGGATGAAATTGTGTGATTATCTCTATCCATCCCGGATGAGGTTTCCTGAGCTTCTTCAGCTTGGTGATGTTATCAGACTTCCAGTTGCATCTGATGTTAATATGCTTTCACTCTGTCCGTTACGGATGCTTGTGCAGGAATTATATCAGTGCTGCACATTATATTTTCTTCTATTCTTGTGTCATTTGTTCATGAGTCAATCAGATGTTGATAATTTAAGAACTTCAAGTTGCTTCTGTAGATAACACCCTTCTGTGTATGAGCTTCTTTATAAATTATACATTATTTCTTTATAACCATCTAATCCGTAGGCTGAGATTGTTCGACATGTAAAGAGGAGGTGCGTGGATGCACCAGTAAGGGGCCGTGGGAGATTGATTGTAACAGGAGTTAGGAGAGGGAGAGGTAGGCCGAGGAAGAACTGGGGGAGGTGATAAGACAAGACAAGACATGACACAACTTCAGCTTAGTAGGTAGCGAGTAGGTAGAGGAGTGTTGTCACACTTTGTGTGGGAGAGGCAGGGCCTAGCCTCCTCTACGCTTCTCCTTATTAGTAGTATTATTTAGTAGTCACGTAGTTTCCTTTAATGTGTATTGCTATCTTTTGCTATTCCTTTTCGTCATTTGCTCTGTACCTTGCTATTTTGTTGCTACCATGCTTCAAATTCTTTTCTTTTCTTTCGAGCCGAGGGTCTATCATAAACAACCTCTCTACCCACAAAGGTAGGGGTAAGGTCTGCGTATGTCCTACCCTCTCCTCTCCTCTCCTCTCCTGACTCCACTTGTGGGATTACACTGGGTATGTTGTTGTCTCATTTTTCGTGAAATGATTTCTTTGGTAATGCAGCTTCTAGTCAATCAGTTGGAGCCTCTGACCGAGCAACAGTTAGCTGGCATTTACAACTTGCAGCAGTCATCCCATCAAGCAGAAGATGCTCTTTCACAAGGTATGGAGGCATTGCAGCAATCCTTGGCAGAGACATTAGCTAACGGATCTCCTGCTACTGAAGGGTCATCAGGAGATGTAGCTAATTATATGGGTCAGATGGCAATGGCTATGGGGAAATTAGGGACTCTTGAAGGTTTTCTCCATCAGGTAACTCTATTTTTGCTGCTGTTTCCTATTCTTTGTTTGTTTAAATTGTTTACAGTAGATAAGCTGCAAATGCTCGTTCAGTTGTTTGAACATGTGGCAAGCAAATGTTGTTCTGGAGGTCTTTGTAACTGCAACCAGCATGCATTGCCCACAGAATCTTCAGAATACGTCTTGTTTGTATTGATCTTTGGAAAAAAAGCCTGGATACTTTGTCTTTTTATGTCCTTTAATGAGGTCATAAAATAACCGAAGGGTTATGTTCGCCAATACATTCTTAAATCAATAATTCTCCTTCTGTCTCATACTTGTATCTCTCTTGTGAATTATATGATTCAAGACAGCCAGTCATGTTCATAGATTTCTGGTTTGTTATATTAGTTTTATGTCGTCTCTGGAGGCAAAATACGTGAAGCTAAAAGTCTTCGCATCTTTCTGGCTCTTTTAACAGGCGGACAACCTGCGTCAACAAACATTGCAACAAATGCATCGCATATTGACAACCAGACAATCAGCCCGTGCTCTTCTTGCAATAAGTGAATACTTCTCACGTCTTCGAGCTCTCAGCTCTCTTTGGCTTGCCAGACCACGAGAGCAATAAGTATGACATGCATCGCAATATTCTACTGAAACTCAGATATACTACTTCGATACACTGGCCAGTATATGAGATCCAGCTAAGTTACTATATGTAAAGTGGTATTGTATGTGCTTGTGGAAGTGCAAAATTTGTTTTCTATCTCCTTAGGTTTTTAGAATGCCAAAATTTTACTCTGCGACTTAGGAACCAATAATGTACCTGTTTTTTTAGCTATAAAAGGAAAAAGTTCAGTTAGGGATATTAAGAAGTGTAATAGATATTTAGAAAGTTTTATGCTTAAACAAATTATTGCTTGTGACTTTAAAGTTTCTCTTCTGATATGTTGGAAATATAACAAGCATTTTATCATTTTTTCCCTTGTATATTTCTGCAGGAAATGTTAAAATCTGTTGTTATTCATCTTCCATAAAATCTAGATACACCAATTTATGGAAAAATAAGGATGAATATGCTAATATTTTTCTTATTCTTCTTCTTCTTCTTCTTCTTTATACTCATGTTTTCTGAATTATAAATGTCATACTCTACTTTTCAAGGTCAAGTTGAACCATTTTGAAGATTAAAAACATGTAGGTTACTAGTTTTTTCTTCTTTTTTTAGAAAACTATTGTAACAAGTAAGTTGTTTTAAATTGTCGATGTGTGATATTATGTAACGATGAAGAACGACACTTTATTCAAATATTACATTTATCAAAATAATACGATACAATATATTATCAAAATATATATAACTATTATTCAAACAAGGTGTAAGTACTTGGTCAATCAAAGATACAATCCATTAAACAGAGAGAAAAAAAATCTCTCATGAATTTTGTCCCACATCGTTATCTAAGAGAAGTTGAGCAAAAGTATCAGTATAAGTAATGGGCTGAGCAGACTGGAATACATACTTACCTGGACGGGGTCAATGGGCGATCAATAAGACCCATGGCCTAGGCTTGTGACCTCCATTGCACTTTGGAGGGGTGCCTGCCTAAGGTCGACCCAAGTGGTCGAGCCTACGTCATAATTTGTTGCTGTGGGGGCCTGCGTTCGCGCAGCCCCTGCCCAATTCTAAGCCCAAAATTGGATGAATGATGGAAAAATAAAGTAAGGAGTTAATTAGAACGTATCTCATAAATGGTTTGATTACTAAGCATGTCTAATGTGCTTACAAGTTTTAGCCATATACCCTAAAGTGAAGGCCTTGGTAGAGTGTAGAAATACACTGCTCAATATAGTGTATTTGTATTAATAATAAAGTTTGTAGTAATTATACTTAGATTATTTTATGAATCATTAGGTTTGGTGTATTAAAAATAATATGCATAGTAAAAAAAAAATTATTTATAAAAATATCCTTCACAATTATGATAAAAAAAAATGTAAAATTGCTTTTGAGGGGTAATTGAATCTTTAATCATGCTTTAGCATGTATTAAATTCTTTTGCATTATTAATACCTAGAAATTCATGGTATTTAGTAATAGAGTGTATAACTAAGCATAAAAAAATTTACCAAACAAGGAATTGCTAATATATAAAGCTAATGCATACATTATTTTTGTTAATACTCTACCAAACGACCCCTTAGACTTTTCAATTATGCTTGAATCATCCATAATAAGAAATAACTTACTCATAGTAAAAAGATCAAAAATCTTGTAAAGCAAAAATAATACTGTATTTGTCTGTTTCAATTTGTGATAAAATTAAAATTTTGAGATTCAAACTTTTAAACTCAGATCATGATTTTGGACATAAATTTTATAAATTTAAAATCTATTTAAAAAAACCATATAAATCACAATATATAATAACTTTAAAGTACTTAAAACCATATAAAGAAATTTCGATAGATCTATATTTTTGATTTGCTCAAATTTCAACTGTAATACTTTTAAATTGAAAAGAAACACCACAGATGGATGATCCCTTAATCAAAGCTCTCGGGTCTTGTATTGTAAAAATAATATCTCAGCTGCTATGTGCCCTACAACCATGGAAAGAGTCCTCAGCACAGCAATAAAAGATTTTAAGTCTGTCAGACATACTTTAGACCATCCCAAGCTCCATAAATCAGAGCTGAGAACATGATCATCTATCGCACCATGACCTTCGCCATGGATGCTGTTAAACTCGCTCTAATCTAATGGCCACGATTCATCCACCAGACTTGGTTTCCTGTTTCCTTAGAAATCGAGGATACAGTGGTACGAGCCTATAAAACAAATTCTGTTCAAGTAAGGTCGTGCCCATTGCACTCAGTTTCTTCACTTAAGTAGCATTCTCCATATCAGTGTTTTGCCTATGTGGGACAAGGAGAAATTTTGCTACTACTTTTATTAATATGATTTTTTTTCCCTTTTGATGTTCTTTCAGCCAAATGATGAGATGCAGAAAATGGATGAGCAGCTTTAAAAAAAGAAACAAAATTAAGTTCTTCTTGAAAGCAAGGTACTCCTGTCTATGATTTTGTATGCTTCCAAGCCTTGTTGTCAAAGAAGAGTAAGACACTTATTTTGCTTGTATCTCTATATAGCGGTAATATAATTCGTCTTTTCAACATTCAATTTGCTTACTCTACAGCTCTATATTCAACCTTGTTTATACATCCTTCGCCATATCATTGTGGATGAGAATGATGAAATGATTATATATAATATTTGCATCATGTAGTTCATAATTATAGAACTCTAAATGTTTCAAATCACATGAAACTCTTAAATGTTTATGCCTTTTTAAACGAACCTTACAATTATCATCAACTGGTGCCATTTTGCTGCTGGTTAGTTTAGCGTGTTGTGCATGTTACTGATTACTCGGAGAACTCAATTGCTGTGTTTTTTTGCCAAAACCATTCAATAAGTTGATCAACGAGGTGGCTGCAATACAGCTTGTGGATGATTGCAAGAGTTTGTGCTGCATTTTCTTAAGTTTGGCAAGGCCATTAGTCTAAAAATTAATACCTGTTTGAAAGACTAGTTACAGATTGCTAAGCTCTAGATGACTTACTTCTACAGAAATTGGTTTACTACAACAACTGTTTATATGGCATTGGCAAGAGTTGCTTTGACTGATCGATACAAAACCAAGATCTGCTGAAACAGATAAGGGTATGGCCGGTTTGCTTATGGTCCTTCGGTTTGTAAGATCAATGACTATACAGTCAACACTCCTATTAGCTGCTACTGTATACATTTTCATGTAAGCTTCTAGACTCTTGTTGAAGGGACAGAATAAGACTCTGAACAAAATCAACCTGAGATAAGACTGAAGAAGTTGAAAACTAACATGACCTGAGGAAGCTGGTGATGCTATATAAGAATGTGTGTATTATATATGTTATCGAAAATTCATCCTTTCTTAGAGAACTTGCCTTGTTTAATTAAGACAACACTCTTCAGTTGATTGAGCCATATCCATTTATAACTCAAATCTGATTTATTATGTCACTTGAATGCTCTCTTTCAGTATAGACTTTAGTTTTTTCCTCCATTTCTTTTGATGATTGTTATGTTACTAGTGACTAACCTTTTGTTATCTATGCTGGAGAGAATGTCAGCGTCGGGAGCATGAACTTTTTGTTATCTGTTAATTTTCTTTTTCTATTTCAAAACAGAATGCTAAAGAGAGTAACGCCATTTCGACTAATTCTCCCACATCAGTATCTGAGAGAGAAGTGGAGCAAAATCAGTAGTATTAATAATGGGCTGAGCTAACTGGAATACATACTTACCTGGATGGGGTCAATGGGCGATCAATAAGACCCATGGCCTAGGCTTGTGACCTTCATTGCACTTTGGAGGGGTGCCTGCCTAAGGTCGGCCCAAGTGGTCGAGCCTACGTCATAATTTGTTACAGTGCCTGCGTTCGCGCGGCCCCTACCCAAACCTAAGTTAAAATTTCCCTTTGAAAACTAACATTGCTTAATTATGCTGTAACTATTCAATTTTATTCAGTAGAGGAAAGCTCATATTTTCTTATTTAAAGTGTCTTGATTCAGATTTTATCTTAACTTTTTGCCAGAGGAATAGGAACATGAAGCAGCAATGAGAGATAAAGCTAGTTTAACTTGAGGTTTGTGCTTCTGTTTAGCAGGTCTTAATTTTAACTTGGTCACAAGACCATGAAGTTGGAGACATAATCTTATTACCTACACGGGTTTCTGCTGTTTCCTTTGATAAATATTTAGAGTGACATCAAGCTGAGAACAGGTTATATCTTCTTGTTTGAGGAACCTTTGTCTTAATTTTCTCTACTTCTACTTGGTGATTGTTGCTGTCGAACACTGTGATTAAACTTATATACTCCTTCCGTCCCTATTTATTTGTCAAATTTTGACTCGACACACCTATTAATAAAACAATGATTGATATAGTGAGTTCATCATTTTACTCTTATTAATGGATAGGGTTCCAAACATATTTACTTACTATATTTTCCAAAGACATTAACTCAATATTAATAAATTGAGAGTATAATAAAAAAGAAGTAAAAGGAGAAATCAAATTATGAAATAGTTTATAAGTAAATAGAGACGACAAGTATATATGCCACACTTTTACAAAGTTAATCAATGCAAAAGAAGAACAAATATGGTGGAGCAAAAATTAATCTTTGGAATTGAGAAAAACCAAAGGGAGAAAGAAACATATGAAATTGAGAAGAAAACCAAAAGTAGATTTCTAGTGATTATAGCAATTAGCAGCCATGGAAGCCTTGCTTAGCTTAAAAAAACAGAGCTGGGAAATTCCATAACAGCAAAAAATGTTTTGAAGTCTGTCAGACAACCATTAGACCATCTCAACACCCATGATTGAGGCTAAGAACGATCATCAATGGCACCATGACCCGAGGATCATGGAAGCTATTAATCACGCTCTGGTCTAATGGCTACGAATCATCCACCAGACTTGGTTTCCTATCTCCTTAGAAATCAAGGATATAGTGGTACGAGCCTATAGAACAGATCCTGTTCAAGTAAGGTCGTGCCCATAGTACTCAGTTTCTTCAATTAAGTAGCGTTCTCCAGCTCTGTGTTTTGCCGATGTGGGACAAAGAGAAATTTTGCTACTATTTTGACTGCATTACCAACAACTAAGATGAGTGATTTCAATTCAAATGTCAGGTCTTCTGTTGTTTTCCGGAGTTAATGTTGTTTTGGTCTCAACGATAACACCTGTCTATGATTTTGTACATTTCCATCCTTTATTGGGTAAATAAATTGTAAGTGTGACAAAAAGGTAAATAAATTGCTAAATAATTCATACAGCTAAATAAAGATGAAGCCATTGAAGTATCAGAACCTCAAGGATAAAGATGAAGCCATTGAAGTGTATGGTCTATTCCACTGATGGTGTCAGCAGATGATATTCCACAAAAAACATAGCCGCGGAGCATACCTCTTTTGTTTTCTATCTCTCACTTTCGAAATGTATGTTGAAATAGGCAATGGATATTGAGGACAAAAAAACATAGAGAAGTTGCAGCAAGGGAAAAGGAGGTTGCTGCAATCGCGTAAATGGCAAGGAGTATGATCAAACAGGAAGGCACAATGTGATGGTCATTCACTTTCAACAAGGTGAAGTTCTTGATTAATATTGTACGATCAATTGACTAACATATGACCATATTGTAGATCGTCTATATAATATTATGTGTCGATATGAGCTGAGTGCATCATATATAAAGTAAGAGCCTAAGACCTTAAAATTTCCAGAAATAAAAACATGTCATGACGCAGATTGGAGCCTATACATAGATTGGTTCAGGTCTGATACACTTTAGGCTACATTGCTCGGACTCTCCAAAAATGTTGCTACACTCGTATCGGATCCTCCAAAAATGAGTACTTTTGGAGGATTCTACACGCATGTTTCAATGTTGTTGAAAAGTTCGAGGAACATAGGTTTTAGGTGGTGAAGTTTTGCAGATACGGAAATGCATCTGAAGAACTGTTCTCTAACAGCTTCTTTAGTTCTTTTTGTATTCAAAGAGAAACAAATAGTATCCATTACACTGGTTTTTTTTTACCATCTCCAAACAGAAAGCTATAAAGAGTAATAAGTAATTCTCCCACATCAGAAACTAAGAGAAATGTGGAACAAAAGCGGTAATATTAATGATGGGCTGAGCGAACCTGGAAACATACTTACCTGGACGGGGTCAATGGACGATCAGTAAGACCCATGGCCTAGGCCTGTGACCTCCATTGCACTTTGGAGGGGTGCCTGCCTAAGGTCGGCCCAAGTGGTCGAGCCTACGTCATAATTTGTTGCAGCGGGGGCCTGCGTTCGCGCGGCCCCTACCAAACCTAAGCCCAAAATTATCTGTTCTAGTAAGAACTTGACAGGAAAAGTAACTCTGGCTAAACAATTAACAACAGAATTGTCCTGCATGAATGTAGCAGTTATAATATCATATCCTTTCATTATATATATATCTACAATAATTGCTGAATATGCTGCAAAGGCGCAGCACATGAGCTAAAGGTGAGAAATACTAGTTATGTAGTCTTACGCGAAGCTCGTTATGAGAACCTCAATGAGAGAGATGAAGCTATTGAGGTGTATGCTTTATTTCCCCTGATGTTGTGACCAGATGATATCACAAAACACACACCAATGGAGGTATAACAAGTTTGAAACGCGCATATTGAGGTCAAAAATAGCATAGAGAAGTTGCAGCAATGGAAAAGGAGGTTGCTACAATCTCGTAAATGGCATGGTGCAATGTGATGGTCATACACTTTCAACAAGGTGAACTTCTTGATCAGCTGTGTACATCATAGGGAAAGCAAGAGCTTCCAAGCTTAAAATTCCGGAAATAAATACATGTCATGAAGAAGTTTGGGCCCATAGACCGATTTTAGGCATGTAATTTTTGTTGTGCTGCTTGGACTCTCCAAAGTAAGAGCCTCCATTCCAAGCTTAACATTCCGGAAATAAAGACATGTCATGAAGAAGTTTGGGCCTATAGACCGATTAGGCATGTAACTTAGGTTATGTTCCTCGGACTCTCCAAAGTAAGAGGCTCCAAGCTTAAAATTCCAGATATAAAGACATGTCATTAAAAAGATTGGGCCTATAGACCGATTTAGGCATGTAATTTAGGTTGTGTTACTCGGACTCTCCAAAGTAAGAGCCTCCAAGCTTAAAATTCCGGAAATAAAGACATGTCATGAAGATGCTGCCATTCTTGATTGCACTCAAAAAGTTGTTTCCTTGTGCTAAGATGACCTTTCAGATGCTGCCATTCTGCAGGGCCCTTACCATTTGATACAGAATATAGGCGATGGTTGGAAGAACACACCAAACACATCAATGAATTGAGGACTACTGTCAATTCACATGCAAGTGATCCTGAACTGCGAAGTATTGTGGATAATGCCATTGCACATCACGATGAGGTTTATAGGATGAAAGCAAATGCAGCCAAGGGTAACGTAGAGCATCTCTTGTCAGGGATGTGGAAAACCCCTGCTGAGCGGTGTTTTATGTGGATTGGTGACTTCCGCCCCTCCTTACTGCTTAAGGTGACCTCTTCTTGCTCTCATTTCTGTGCAATTTTGCATCAGTTCTTCCATATCTCCCATCTAGACTTCCCCTGTATATGATTATAAAAAGCAGTTATACTTTTTGATCATGTATGAAAAGGTCCCATTATTAGCAAGACTAATAACTTCTTAGTACTATGTGGAACTTCATTGATTTATGTTTGTGAAAATCTAGAATACTTGCTAAAGATTAGGTGGTTTCACTTTCCGAATGAATGAGGTGCCGTGCATTGTACAATTGCATATTCATGTCACTATCTTCTATAACACCATCACTGTAGTCTCGTGACCTTGGATAGTTAAGGGTTGAGATTCTCCTTCAAATGGGACATACGTACAATTATTGTGTTGAAGCTCTTGCTTTTCTTCTTGCATCCACTGCATAATAGCATCCTAAACAAACCTGATTCCTAGAAACAAAAGCTTGGATAAAATTGTGTGGTTATTATCTCTAGTCATCCCGGATGAGGTTTCCTCAGCGTCTTTAGTTTCCAATAGCATAAGCTAACTTCCTTACATGCTAATTAATCTCGAATAATTAAGGCACAAAGCATAGAGGAAAAGATGACTACAAACTATTGGTAGGAAACAAGTAACAATAATTAACAAAATGATTAAAAAGAAAAAGATGATTATTAGTCGAGTAAATCAACATTAATAGCTTTAAGAGCTTCATTAGCCATAGTCTTATGCATTTTCTCAGAAGGATGAACAGCGTCCCAGAACACAAACTTTGTTCGATCACCACAAGTATTCAACCCCTTACAACTCTCTCCATACTCTACTGTTCCTGTCCCGCAACACCCCTACTTGTCTCTGTAAAACCTGTTCCATTATATTTATAATTCATTAGCAACATATATAATATCCATATAAAATACCAAATATATTTTCTTGAAAAATATTTTTTTTGTTTACTTATTAAATATCATAATATATGTGAGATAATAATGACTGAAACATATTTTTTGGAATACAAAGAGTACATGTGACAAATTGGTGGATTGAGCTGAATTTAGACAGGTCAAAATGAGTTGAGTTGATAAATCGGTGGGTTATTGATCCGTCCAAAAATTACTTCGGTGGGTCAAGACCTACCTCACTCGATTCTTACCAAGTTTTAATTGTTTATTTGTTATTCAAGTTTTAATTTTCAAGTTTTATCATGTATGAAAAGGTCCTGTTGTTAGCAGGACTAATAAGTTCTTAGTAGTATGGAATTTCATTGATTTATGCTTGTGATAATTTACTTGCTAAAGATTGGGTGGTTTCACTTTCCGAACTAATGAGGTGCCTTGTGCTTGTAGTGTACAATTGCATTTTTATGTCACTATCTTCTATAACACCATCACTGTAGTCTCGTGACCTTGGATAGTTAAGGTCTGACATTCTCCTTCAAATGTCATGGACTTGCATTTATTGTACTGAAGCTTTTGGTTTTCTTCTTGTGTTCACTGCATAATAGCAACTCTAAACAAACCTGATGCCTAGAAGCAAAAACTTGGATGAAATTGTGTGATTATCTCTATCCATCCCGGATGTGGTTTCCTGAGCTTCTTCAGCTTGGTGATGTTAGCAGACTTCCAGTTGCATCTGATGTTAATATGCTTTCACTCTGTCCGTTTACGGATGTTTGTGCAGGAATTATATCAGTGCTGCACATTATATTTTCTTCTGTTCTTGTGTCATTTGTTTATGCGTCAATCAGAAGTTGATAATTTAAGAACTTCAAGTTGCTTCTGTAGATAACACCCTTCTGTGTATGAGCTTCTTTATAACCAATTATGCAGTGCGTGGATGCGCCAGTAAGGGAGTGTGGGAGATTGATTGTAACAGGAGTTAGGAGAGGGAGAGGTAGGCCGAGGAAGAACTGGGGAGGTGATAAACACGAGACATGACACAACTTCAGCTTAGTAGGTAGCGAGTAGGTAGCGGAGTGTTGTCGCACTTTGCGTGGGAATGGTAGGGCCTAGCCTCCTCTACGCTTATCCTCATTAGTAGTATTATTTAGTAATCATGTAGTTTCCTTTACTTTAATGTGTATTCCTAACTTTTGCTATTCCTTTTCCTCATTTGCTCTGTACCTTGCTATTTTGTTGCTACCATGCTTCAAATTCTTTTCTTTTCCTTCGAGCTGAGGGTCTATCAAGTATCATAAACAACCTCTCTACCCACAAAGGTAGGGGTAAGGTCTGCGTATGTCCTACCCTCTCCTCTCTTGACTCCACTTGTGGGATTACACTGGGTATGCTGTGTCTCATTTTTCGTGAAATGATTTCATTGGTAATGCAGTTTCTAGTCAATCAGTTGGAGCCTCTGGCCGAGCAACAGTTTATGGGCATTGCCAACTTGCAGCAGTCATCCCAACAAGCAGAAGATGCTCTTTCACAAGATATGGAGGCGTGGCAGCAATCCTTGGAGGAGACATTAGCTTACGGATCTCTTGCTACTGAAGGGTCATCAGGAGATGTAGCTTATAATATAGGTCAGATGGCAATGGCTATGGGGATATTAGGGACCCTTGAAGGTTTTCTCCGTCAGGTAACTCTATTTTTGCTGCTGCTTCCTATTCTTTGTTTGTTTAAATTGTTTACAATAGATAAGCTGCAAATGCTCGTTCAGTTGTTTGAACATGTGGAAGTCGGGGGCAAGTAAATGTTGTTCTGGAGGTCTTTGTAACTGCAACCAGCATGCATTGCCCACAGAATCTTCAGAATACGTTTTGTTTGTATTGATCTTTGGAAAAAAAGTCTGGATACTTTGTCCTTTTATGTCCTTTAATGAGGTCATAAAATAACCGAAGGGTTATGTTCGCCAATACATTCTTAAATCAACAATTCTCCTTCTGTCTCATACTTGTATCTCTCTTGTGAATTATATGATTCAAGACAGCCAGTCATGTTCAGAGATTTCTGGTTTGTTATATTAGTTTTATGTCGTCTCTGGAGACAAAATACGTGAAGCTAAAAGTCTTTGCATCTTTCTGGCTCTTTTAACAGGCGGACAACCTGCGTCAACAAACATTGCAACAAATGCATCGCATATTGACAACCAGACAATCAGCCCGTGCTCTTCTTGCAATAAGTGAATACTTCTCACGTCTTCGAGCTCTCAGCTCTCTTTGGCTTGCCAGACCACTAGAGCAATAAGTATGACATGCATTGCAATATTCTACTGAAACTCAGATACACTACTTCGATACACTGGCCGGTATATGAGATCCAGCTAAGTTACTATATGTAAAGTGGTATTGTATGTGCTTGTGGAAGTGCAAAATTTGTTTTCTTTCTCATTAGGTTTTTAGAATACCAAAATTTTACTTTGTGACTTAGGAACCAATAATGTACCTGTGTTTTTAGCTTTTACAAGGAAAAAGTTTGGTTAGGGATATTAAGAAGTGTAATAGATATTTAGAAAGTTTTATGCTTAAACAAATTATAGCTTGTGACTTAAAAGTTTCTCTTCTGATATGTTGGAAATATAACAAGCATTTTATAATTTTTTCCCTTGTATATTTCTGCAAGAAATGTTAATATCTGTTGTTATTTATCTTCCATAAAATCTAAATACACCAATTTATAAAAAAATAAGGATGAATATGCTGATATTTTTCTTTTTCTTCGTCTTTATAATCCTGTTTTCTGAATTATAAATGTCATACTCTACTTTTCAAGGTCAAGTTGAACCATTTTGAAGATTAAAAACATGTAGATTACTAGTTTTTTTTTTTCTTTTTTTACTGTAACAAGTAAGTTGTTTTAAATTGTCGATGTGTGATATTATGTAACGATGAAGAACGACACTTTATTCAAATATTACATTCATCAAAATTATATATAGCTATCATTTAATCCATTAAATAGAAAGAAAAAAAAAGAAGAGAAACTGATTAGAATGATGTATCTCTCATGAATTTTGTCCCACATCAGCATCTAAGAGAGAGAAGTGGAGCAAAAGCAGTAGTATTAATAATGGGTTGAGCAGACTGGAGAACATACTTACCTGGATGGGGTCAATGGACGATCAATTAGACCCATGGCCTAGGCTTGTGACCTCCATTGCACTTTGGAGGGGTGTCTGCCTAATGTCGGCCCAAGTGGTCGAGCTTATGTCATAATTTGTTGCAGAGGGGGCCTGCGTTCGCGCGGCCCCTGCCAAACCAAAGCCCAAAATTATCTGTTCTAGTAAGAACTTGACAGGAAAAGTAACTCTGGCTAAACAATTAACAACAGAATTGTCCTGCATGAATGTAGCAGTTATAAATCATATCCTTTCATTATATATATATCTACAATAATTGCTGAATATGCTCTGCAAAGGCGCAGCACATGAGCTAAAGGTGAGAAATACTAGTTATGTAGTCTTACACGAAGCTCGTTATGAGAACCTCAATGAGAGAGATGAAGCTATTGAGGTTTATGCTCTATTTCCCCTGATGTTGTGACCAGATGATATCACAAAACACACCAATGGAGGTATAACAAGTTTGAAACGCGCATATTGAGGTCAAAAATAGCATAGAGAAGTTGCAGCAATGGAAAAGGAGGTTGCTGCAATCTAGTAAATGGCATGGCGCAATGTGATGGTCATACACTTTCAACAAGGTGAACTTCTTGATCAGCTGTGTACATCATAGGGAAAGTAAGAGCTTCCAAGCTTAAAATTCCAAAAATAAATACATGTCATGAAGAAGTTTGGGCCCATAGACCGATTTTAGGCATGTAATTTTTGTTGTGCTGCTCAGACTCTCCAAAGTAAGAGCCTCCATTCCAAGCTTAACATTCTGGAAATAAAGACATGTCATGAAGAGGTTTGGGCCTATAGACCGATTAGGCATGTAACTTAGGTTGTGTTCGTCGGACTCTCCAAAGTAAGAGGCTCCAAGCTTAAAATTCCAGATATAAAGACATGTCATTAAAAAGATTGGGCCTATAGACCGATTTAGGCATGTAATTTAGGTTGTGTTACTCGGACTCTCCAAAGTAAGAGCCTCCAAGCTTAAAATTCCGGAAATAAAGACATGTCATGAAGAAGATTGGGCCTATAAACCGATTTAGGCATGTAAGTGTTGCTCGGACTTTCCAAAGTAAGAGCCTCCAATCTTATCTATTTTTTTTAATTAGCATAATTTTGCTAGTATTCTAATTTTTAAATTAAAGTATAATTTATTGTTGAATAAGGTTATAATACTCTTATTTTAAATCATAAGAGTATTATATTAAATTTTTAGTTTTGAATTTAGAACTTATGTTATATGTTTTAGTTTAATTTGTTTTAATAGTATTGACTTGATGTTTTATACTGCAAATCATTTATTTTTTAGTTAAGACTTGATAGATTTTTTTTTTTGTCAAATATTTTAATAACTTTATGACATTATATTTATAATATTAATCTTTCTGTCAAACATGCATTTCATGATGTTCATTATCTTGTACTTTCAATTTTTATGATTAATTTAATTAAAATATACTATTTTAAAAAATATAAATCAATTACTTTTAAAGACAATATATATCTTAAATATTTAATTTAATATAATTTATAACAGTCTTATTTGTCTAATATAAAATTTTAATTTTAGATAATTAACTTTTATTTATAAATTTAATATAGCCTAATTATTGCAATTATACAACTAAACCGTAGACTTATAATTTCATTGTGACAAATAAATAGATCATCATAATTATTAGATTATATAATTACTATCCTAATATTACACCAAGTTTTGACTTGCCTAAATAGAACTCATCTCTTTATCTAAATAGTTTGATGAAAACAAGTTATCCCAATATTAACTATTCCGAAATATGTTATCCAATGTATGAAATAACTTATCCCATTAGGCCATTACTAAGATATAAATAGTAGAATAAATAATCTGAAGAAAGTATAATACTTCCTACCCCCAAACACAGATCTTGAATTATGTATTATACTTGTAGGCTCACACCAACTACTTTCCACGAAAGTGGAGCAAAAAAGCTCTAGTATATATAACTATATAAGTCATGGGCTGAGCTCTTTATGCAGAATATTTAGCTGAATGGATGCAATGGGTGATAGGGAAGGCCCTAGGCTTGTGAGCTCCACTGCACTTTGGAGGGGTGACCGCCGGCCAGCCCAAATCGTCCAGGTATCGCAGTTGGAGCAGGACTTTCAGCGAGCACCTCAACAGCGCGAAAGTGGTATGGCCTATTTTTTTTGTCGTTGAACTTGTGTGACCTAGTTTCTTTTTTTTTCATTTCAACAAACTAGGAATTGATGAGATTCTTCTATCAAATTGAACTAGAGTTGCTTGTTATTTAGCAATTACACCTTATTATACAGGATTTGGGTAATTCTAGGAAGGTTCGGTTGAACCGGAATAGTTGGTTTCACTAGACAGAGAAGCATCCACCATAGATTGCAGTCAAACATACATTACTGTGTGGTGTGTGCTTAGTATGCAAATAAGACTAGAAATGGTGTGTTTTTTTTCTGCTTGAAGAAGATTGCAGAACTTTAGTTATCTTGATTTTTCCTGATTAACTGATGGTATAACTTGTGAAATCCATCTGTGTGTCAATACACTGTGAATTACATTAAATTTGAAATTAAGGAACAAAGTTAATTGCAGCTTGTGATGGTTGCTATGATAAAGATGATGAACAAATCAGTTACTGCTTTATGCATTTAGTTTCATACATGACGTTTTTTGTATTAGACTGGCTTATCTTAATAAGATGACGTTCAACCCCTTATCGTATTCCTGATTGCACTCAAAAAGTTGTTTCCTTGTGCTAAGATGACCTTTCAGATGCTTTCTTTGTGCTAAGATGACCTTTCAGATGCTGCCGTTCTGCAGGGTCCTTACCATTTGATACAGAATATAGTCGATGGTTGGAAGAACACACCAAACACATGAATGAATTGAGGACTGCTGTCAAGTCACATGCAAGTGAGCCTGAACTGCGAAGTATTGTGGATAATGCCATTGCACATCACAATGAGGTTTATAGGATGAAAGCAAATGCAGCCAAGGGTAACGTAGAGCATCTCTTGTCAGGGATGTGGAAAACCCCTGCTGAGCGGTGTTTTGTGTGGATTGGTGACTTCCGCCCCTCCTTACTGCTTAAGGTGACCTCTTCTTGCTCTCATTTGCAGGCAATTTTGCATCAGTTCTTCCATATCTCCCATCTAGACTTCCCTTGTATAGGATTATGAAAAACTGTTATACTTTTTGATCATGTATGAAAAGATCCCATTATTAGCTGGACTAATAACTTCTTCGTAGTATGTGGAACTTCATTGATTTATGTTTGTGAAAATCTAGAATACTTGCTAAAGATTGGGTGGTTTCACTTTCCCAATGAATGAGGTGTCGTGTGTTATTCTCCACGACCTAGTAATTTATGAGTGAAATAGGTTGCCTAACATGTTCCAATGTAACCATAAGAACAATACAGAACACAATATTTTTACATGGAAAACACCCGGTTCAAAAGGTGTAAAAATCCACGACCTGTACCCCTACAGGACTTAACTTCAATTTCACTAAATCACTAAGTCTCCACAGAAAATAGATTACAAACTTTGCAACCTACGAAACTAACTCTAATTCCTTAACTTCAAGTTATGGATTTAGATTACAACTCTTGCAATCGTAGGAACTAACTATAATTCCTAACCTACTACAACTCTTGTAATCCTAAGAACTAACTATAAATTCTAAACTTCAACACAAATGTATTCCCAACTCTTCGAGTTGTCACAACCTGAAGACAACACTCCTAAACATGCCTAATTCAATTTATAACTCACTGAGTTACATCAAGACTCAATCACAAAGAAAACTCTTAACACATAAACTCTACAAAAGGACCAGGTTTTTCGATGTGTTCCTTCAGTTAACTGGTAGCACTTGCGAAGTCAATTTTTCAATTGCTATTTTTTACTCGGTAAGTGCACAAGTATTCTAGATGACTTCACCTCTATTTAAGCACAATTCTTCATAGAGTTATTGTTTACTTCAAACTCCTCGTTGACCTGAACTCTCTTGACTTACAGTTCTACTTCAAGTAAGACTCCTTCTTCAATTCAAACTCCTCCTTCAAATCAAATTCATTGATTCTTTTGTATTGTAATCGAACTCCAACTCTTCAATTCAACAATAACTTGAAGAGTTCTACTTCAAATAAGACTCCTTCTTCGATTAAAACTCCTTACCTACTCCTTCTTCAAATCAAACTCATTGATTATTTTTCTTCAATTCATCACTTGTTTGATTCCTTGTGTTTTATCACGAAATTAACATTATTCATTTCTTGATTTCTGCACTCTTGTCTTTATTTATTTTAAAAGCTTTCCCGAATTCAACAGGTGACAGAACACATTTGGACCATTGTGTTACCTCTTCAAACCCCACTTGTAGGATTACATTGAGTA